CCTGGTGCTTTAGTCATTCAGGATAAGAGGGCTTCCCCCCCTCCAGAAACAAAAGGCTCCCCCCACCTTTTCCCAAGAGCCCCACATTCTCTCTCTTCCCCCCCCCACTGATTCTGCTTCCACCGTGCATTAAATGGCACCGTTTTTGTACAAAAAATGCCAGCCTCCAGGAGCCAGGATGTTCTGGAAGGAGGATCTGATGATTCCCCCCCCCCAAGCACACACAGCACTTCTCTCAAAAGGGGGAAACATTCCCCCCCCAACAGCTCCTTCCCATGCCCAGGGTGGGGTGTGTGGGGCTGAGCCCCCAGGAGAGTCTACGGAGTGGTTTTTGGTGTGCAGGATTGCTCAGAGGCTGGGCCTCTGCAGAGTAACTGGCAGGTGGCGTTTCCCCCATCCCGACAAGGCGCCTGGCACCTGGGAAGAGATGAGATGGGGAGTTCCCTGCCCCAAGGAAGTTACAGTTGACAGGAAGGAGAGGGAAGTGAGAGGGGGGTGGATGGGTGTGAAAAGGTATATGCATGACACTTAAGGATCTGTCCCCACAAGGGGTAAGACACTGGTAAGACATTCAAGCCCTTTTTAGGTGAGACACTGATTCTGTATCCAGAAGGGGTACCTCCTTCAAAGGAGGGTGGGGGAAGACTGTCCCTTTATTCTAACAGGACTCCCTCCCACCCCCCCATTAGATGGCTCGGCCTCTGGTCAGCAGGGAGACAGCGCCACTTCCTTCCCCTGCCTGGTGGCTCAGTCACTTGGGACTGAAAGATTTGTGTGCCTGGAGGGTGAGCGTGCACAGGGTCACATCCGTGTGTCTGTCAAAGCAACACAAAATATTTAACCTAGGAAAGACGAAGGAGTGACTCACCTGCAGTGGACGACCTTGTGATCTGCTGGCCTTCTCCCACTGGAGCCAGGGCTGTTCTGAGTCTGGATGCGGCCATTCCAGGGACACTGGGCTCCACCCTAACACGTCCTTCACCCCAGACCTACACACGCACACCCGCCCACTCCTTTTCCTGAATGATGATCAGCTGTTCCCATTATGTGATCAAAATGCATCTTTTTGCATTTCATTTGCATTTTAGGATCTCTCTGCTCTCCTTCGCATCTTTCTCTCCTTTCTCTGCTGGACACCCGTCTCCAAACCCTGCAAGAAAGAGAGATTTCAAAAACTTCTCTCTTCTTTCTAGCCTTAATTCACCCCCCCCCAAAAAAAGCCCATGCTTTACAGTGGAACTGAGAATACATAGCGTTGTGCACCTTATTTTAAATATTTGCAATCTGATTTTTTTTCCTGCACAGTTTTGCTTCCTCTAGTTCATACATTCAAATCCTAAAAGATATTTCCATTTATGAAGATGGCCCATGATGTCATGGTGGATGCTTAATTGCATTTCTTAGGCTGGTGGTTTGTGGTATTTTTCCCCCTCCCTCAAACCAATTACCACAAATTGGGAGCTCCCAGATGTCTCACCAATAACCCGGCTGTTAAAGACCCTCTGGCGCAGAGGGGGGGGGGAAAATGATGACTCGTTTCATCCTGGCACCGTCCATAGAAAAAGAGCACCCCGGAAGCCGGCTTTTTCCTGGGCTTTCCCTCAAGTTCCCATTTGGCCCCTCAGTCAGTCAGAGAGGATGATGGGGCTGCTGGTGGAGAAGAAGGAAGCCTTTCCTTGTAACCTATTCTCACAGAGCAAAAAAAAACAAAACCCCCACCTGAAACCACCAAACAACCCCCCCCCATATGGGATTCTAGCAGACCCTTTCAGTGTCTCCTTTGTCCTGCCCTTTCTTGACTCAGCAAATCTAAGACATCTATTTTATTTATTCAGTTAAAACATTTTTGCCCTGCCTTTCTCCTTAAAAGGACCCACGTTCGTTTGCTAGTTTCTCTGTTTTGTTTTGATTTTAAAATATTTGCTTCATCCCTTGCTTTAGTCTCCTCCTTGGGTGGGGTCATGATCCTTTCCAGTCTTTCGGGATCAACATCATTTGCAGTTACCTACACGATAATTGGGCATGTTTATGCCATTCATGGCCTTTTGGGGGCCTCTCTTCTGTGGTGATGCCTGGTCCTCTCTTTTTTGGGGGGGTGGGGGGTGCCTAAGATGCCCCCCTGGCCTGGCATTCCATTGGAAGACTTGGAAACAGTTCTGGAGGGGGGGTCACCTGTGGAGGTTGAAAAGACGGGGTCTCCTTTGTGTAAAAAAGACTCTTGTGCTGAGCGACAATCCTGAAACACATCGCCAAAAAAGCATGTCCTATTGATCAGTAGAAATATCTCTCAAGAATAAAGGGGGGGGGCAGGCGGAGCGGTTGTGTGAGTGCTGATCAGCCCCCCAAAACCTTTAATCAGAGAGCAGGCCTGGGAGATAACCCTTCTCCTGAGCATTTTAATTCAGAATTTTCCAGTTCTGAATTTTGTCCTGATTTATTTTATTTTATTTTTTTAAAAAAAGGCAGAAGACGTGCAAAAAGTCGCCCTCTTCCATCTTTTCCTGTACTTTTTCCTTTCCGATTCCATCCTGCACCCTTCAAATACACCCTTCCCTCCATAGTACAGCTTTGGTATGACACTGCTCGGTTTAAAACCAATTAGGGCACTGATTAATCACCTGATCAGTTTAATTAACCCACCCAAAATCTTCTACCTCGCTGAACAACAGCTACACCTGAACACTTTCAAGCTGTCAGGGGATTTGAGAGAGAGAGAGAGAGAGACTTCCCTCTGAGAAAAATTCTCCTTCACTTGAAATCGGTAGAAGCTAGTAAAAAACAAAATGACTTAAATATCTCTGGACCCGACCTGTAGCTTTAATTCAAGACACAACACGCGAGGGGACCGTTTCCTTCAGAGGACATTTTCTCTCTTCCAGAAAGCAGAGAACAACGTCCTTAAGAAAGTGCCTTAGCTCAAAAAGTGAACTCCGAAACAGCCCCTGGGTATTGCGGATATATTTCTTTTAAAATATATCCAAAAGCAGAGCGAGAGATAGAAATAAGGGGGAAGCCCTGCTTTTGCTTGGGAGAAAACCCGGGAGGGAAACTTATGACTTTACCAGGACTCCTGAACCCGCTTGATGGGTGACTGGTTTACTCAGAAGTAAACCCCAAATCAATTCCTAAGCCTGGAACAGGTTAGACGCAAGTCGGGGAGGCTGCGCGTTTTGTAAGCCGCTTTGAGTGCCAGCTTTTAGGGGAAAGGCGGAGTATAAAAGAAAGGAACGAACCAACGATTGATTCGTACTGTATTTCCCGAAGCAGGACCGAAGCGCTTTTTGCGCCCCCACCCAGACGAAAAGGGGTCGAGGCACAGAGGCCAGGAGCGCAGCGCAGCCGCCCCCGACCCCTCCCCTGATCGCAGCCCGCAATATATCTGCCCTCCTTATCTGGGGATACCTTCACCGCGGCCCCCCCCCAAGCAAGCTCCGTGGGTATCAGGAATCCTCCCTGAAGTTTTTCCACGCTCTGTTTTGCACAGCTAAGATGTGGGGGGGGGCGGATACCTACCGCTCAGGGTCGTTGTGAGGAGAAAAGCCCCGTGGGCCTGAAATGCGAGGAGGAGGAGGAGGCGCCGCCTCTCCGCACCCCCCCCCCCAAAATTAATATGACAAAGGGAAGCCCCTCCGGAGCCCACCTTCATCATCTTGAATGATTTGAATGGACACGCGAGGGAACCCGGGGTCGTCAGAGAGAGGCCCCTTTTCTCTCACAGGTCGCTCCCATTGAGTTCAATGGTGCAGAGGCTCCGCCAACTGGCAGCTCCCAAGCCCATGCTCCCCGAACGGAATCTGAAAACACAGGACGCTTTCAAGCACGTGTCTTCTCCGAACAAAACGCGCGTTCCGAAGCTGGCAAAATTGAAAAAAAAAAAAGGGGGGGGAAGAAAGCAAGGATTTTGGGGGGAGCGGGAGGAAGAGAGGAAACTAAAACGACGAGTGGCACAGAATCCCCCCCGACCTCCCGTCTCTGGAAATGGATTTGATCCGGGAAAGCTCACCTTGAAAATCAACCCGCTAGTCTTCAATCTTTTGCTTCAAATATATTAAAACCCTCAATGTCTTAATTTTTTTTTTTAAAAAAAAATTGTATTGGCTCAGGTAGGGGGGGAAAGTCTCAAAGTTTACATTTTTTTTTTCAAAAAGGGAGGGGAAACAAAGTCCACCACCAATAACACTATTAGAAAAAAATTCCATTAGAAAAAAATCAATGGGGAGGGGTGGAAATTTAACCGCATCTATAAATAGGGCCTCTGAACGCATCGGATACGAAAAAGGTGAGTTACTTTCTGCCGAATCTCCATAAAAAATTACTCCTAAGTATCCCCATCTTTTTTTGTTCCGTATCTTGGATTTTTTGGCTGGAAAACTTCTTTTTATCTCAGTTTCTATAAAAAGGAAACTGATATTGAGAAATCTGGACATTTACTTCTCACAAACAGACATAGTTGGGGAGGGGTGGTGTTGGGTGGGATCCACTCCTTCTAAATCCAATCATCCCTGTAAAAATCATTTAGTTTAAATCCAACCTCCCTCCCGTATTTATCCCGGAAAAAAAACTCCTTTACTAGCTTTTCTTCTAAGTTTGCTTTCAGGGTGACTGATATAATTTGCTAAACGCCTAATACGATAATTATCAAAGAAATTAAGAGTCTCTCTCTCTCAAAAATTGTTAAAATTAAAATGACTTCTATTTTTTTAAAATCTTTTTTTAAAAGGGATTAGCCTCCGGTGCTATATTCAACCCCATAAGGATTTTAACAGGGCAAAATATATAGATTTAAAGCATCAAAGTGTTTTTCTGTTTAGACGTTTAGAAAAAAATAATAAAGCTTTCTCTGGGAAGAAAAATATGAAGGCAAAACTCCAAACGGATATGTATCCATCTCAATTTCGGGTCTGCGTGTGTGTGTGTGGGGGGGACAGACTAATTGGAAAAGTGGAAAACCTTGAACTTCTCTCCGAAGATTTTGGTTATTAGCTACTCCACCTACATTTCACCTCCAAATTAAAATTAATTCCATGTCTTATAAGGCGCCGATCCCTTTTTCTTTTTACTGTATTTGTTTCTTTTTAAAATGCTTGGTATTCTACCTTTTGGGGGGGGGCGACTTTCTTGTTTTGACTGCAAACCGTCGATTCGGAATGAGCTGGGCTGGGCGAGGTTGCCATCTCTCTCTGGCGTCCCTGCTCCTGTGCTCTTTTACGATCCACCTACGACTCCAGGGTGGGTTAAAAAGAGAGAGAACGTGAACTGATTGGTGATAACGGGGGGGGGGGGAATAACGTGTCGGCCATTCACACGCTGTGGTTCCCCGGATTGGTAGAAAAGGGGCCGCTAAATAAAACAAATGAACAAATAAATAGCAAATAAAACATTCTTTGTTCTGCTTCCCTCTCGCTGACTCCTCTTTCTCTCTTCAATTTACACCTCCGCCTTTCCTCCTCCAAGGACCCAAGACGGCTTACAACATAAATAATTTTAAAAAGTCTCCCCCCCATAGATTAAAAAAAAAGTAACACTTTAAATACACTATTAAAACGCTGTTAAATATATTTTCCTCAATAAAACAAACACTGGATTTACCCGATTTTAAAACTCAGCCAAAAAGAAGTAACCCCCCCCCCCCAATTTAAACATCCCCACCTCCTCCGTCAGTCCGTGCGCAAAAGCCGGAAAGAAGGAAGCAGAGCGCAGGTGAGGCCAAAATGAAATCAATCCATCCCTGAATCAGGTGAGCTTGCTTGCAAAAAATCCCCGGTCTGGATTATTTTAGGAAGGACATTCCCAGCTTTTGGGCCCTTGTTTTAAATTAGGAACCCAAAACTTTAGGGAAGGATTTCCGTTTGGCGACTTTGTGGCGGGACGCCCGCCTCGTTCCCCTGCCTAGCCTCGACGATCTTTGGCCCCTTGTCCTTTGGGTGCTGATTCTGACCCGCTGCCTTGCCTTGTTTTGTTCTACTTGCGCGGTGGAGGGAGACCCGCCGAAAACCCCTCTCTCCTCGCTGCGGGCTGCCAACGTTTATCCTCAACCAAACTGACCGCGCCTCACGGTCCCACAGGGCTCCTCGTTTTGTTCGCCACCGACTCACAGGGAGACCCCACCTGTGTGAAAACGAGGTCCAGAGTTTCCTCGCTCGGGGGGTTCCCCTGGACACGTGTATCGCCTTAAGGGGCTCCCTCCCTCCGAAGGAAGCCTGGCCAGCCCCATCTCTTGATTCCTTATCTACACCCCCCCTCTTTTCCTCCCCCTTTGGGCAGCCTGCAGGATAGACTTTGCTCACGGTCTCAGCCATTCACACATAATCTACATGCTTGCGCGTGAGAACGTCGCCCGGCGGATGAGCGCTACAAACTCGGCTCACGTGCGCCGTGTTTAAAGGACTGACTTCTCCTCCGGGCGAGGCCTTCCGTCAAGCGCTCGGCGTTGGAAAGGATCGCCTCCCAGGGTTTTAGGATCGAACTGTCGTCTTCAACCCCAAGACTGGGTTGGGCAGATTTTTCT